ATGACTGTACGGATTTTGATTCATCCTCAACACAGTGTACGGATTTCGATTCAAAACTGTACGGATTTTGATTCAATCGTAAAACGCTGTACGGATTTTGATTCAAGATATGTGCAATTTAAATCCTTTTTTTCTAATAATTGAAGGTAATTTTAAGACCTGGTGTTTGCAAATATTGGAAAAATAAAGATAAATGTAAAGGAAAAAGATGTGATACAGAGCATAATGTGATAGCATTATTTAGTATTGACCGTTAATGATTCTCTCGTGCTTAGGTGTACGGATTTCGGTCCCGCACGGTATTCGTCTTCATCTTGGTGGGGATTAAAAAGCCTGAATTTATAAAGAGACGACATCTTATCCATTTGACAGGTCTTCTGCTCGATTGGAATAACTTTTCCTATGACATTGACAGACAATCGATTGTTCCAATTTTGACATGTCGCCTCTTTATAAATTTAGGCTTTGGGGATGATTTTGAGGATCAAATATCACGTGATAATTGAAAAGGACCTATCATTTTTGTAAACAAAACTTGCTAGGGCCTATACGCGTGTCCCGAAGTATGCCCACGCAAACCAACAAGATCAGTGGGTAGGAGAAATTCTGGGTGTACTTCGGTGCGTGAGCAAGTTCGGTGCCCTAGCAAGTTTTGTTTTCAAAAGTTGATTAGACCTTTCAAATGTTACGCGAGAAATGCAAAATTATTATTTTCATTTTACACAAATATAGCGTTGAAGAGCTATCGTGTTGATTTTTACACACAGATCGATGGCAAATTATTGCCTCATGCTGAATTGATGATAATTTCGTCGACAACATTCAAATTAATTTGATTATTTTGCTTTGAGGATCGCTTCTGATTTTGAAAATTTTGTGTTGGACAATCAATCACTGGTGAATATCAACAAACGCGTATTCATTGATGTATAATGCACCTATTTCTTCATTTCACTCGCATGGAACAACGAAGATTTTCAAATCAATCGCAATCCATCTACACTGGGTTAAAGCGCTATTCTTTGCTTGTTTGTTATGATAAATGATAATAACAGACAGTGGTTGAAAAAAAAAATGTATAGGGTAGAGCGCTACTTCATCGTAATCGTCCATTTCCGTTCTTTCGAGCAGAAAACATCAATATAATCAATGATTTGACGGTGCACAAATCAATAATACGTTTGTACTGATGGGTTAGTTCACAAGCTACAACACAAAGCCTGTTAGAGCGTATTGGGTGAATATTTACACTCATTGTTCTCAAAACAAAAGAAGCGCTTCTAGCAAACTCTTTTTTCTACCTTTATCCGTAGGACGAAGAAAATCCAATGGCGTTTCAATGCGTTTGAACGGAATTGAAACTCGTCGGACGAATTTGGAATCAAGAAGCAGTGTTAGATTTTTAACAATATATCAACAATGTGTGGCTCTTTATCAAATTCAACGAAACTTATGGAAAGGGGAATAAATTTAGAAGTCATCTTTGATAGAAAAATTTCATTTATTGATAAAACCCGTTCAAGAAAGAGAGGTAAAGCGTGGGTTGTGCTTAGTAAGACGGAAATTAGATCAAAAACCCTAATCTGTATTTATTAATTTATTATGATAACTTTATACATCTAACGATGCACAGTGGGCCAAAATAACTGCGACTTTGGGACCGTTTTTGCCCACCGTGCGATGGATCAAACCGCATACCATGTTTTATTTTCAACGTTTTGATCTTTGGAATATTTTAGGGGTAATAGTGTACTGTCCATTTTGGATTCGTAGGAGATGGTAAAAAAGTGAAAACCGATGTGATCATCCACGGCTACATTTGTCGAATTTTCATATCTTGGAAGGCACAAAAAAAATTTAGCACTAAGTGAAAGACTCTACAACTTTAAACGGTCAAATAGGAAGGCCAAAAAATTTCGATAACATTATGTCGACGCAAGCTCTGACTTTCTAGGATACAAACAACAAGATCTTTCTTTCTAAATCATCACACATGTCGGTAGAAAATCTAAAGCATAGAAATCTGCCTTTCAAATTGTTTGGTTTTTTCAATGTGGAAATCCTTTTTTACAATACATAATAAACTGAAACAAATTGTCCTCAACTAACAACGCTCAGATATCAAACGTCTTATTCTTGAAAATACATCTCAAATAGTTGAAGGCTTTATCGTCCTGGGTGGTTCCGGTCGGTCTGAAGCACTTTCCAACAACTTCCCGTACCTTCTCCGAATCGTATTGTTCTGCCATGAAGTTTACCACAGCCTCCCGGTCGATAACACCTTCCGATTCCCAGAAGCCCAAGTCAATCAACATGCAATTGATGAATTTCTGTGAGTGTTGGAACGAAATGTTAAAAAAGCTTGCAGCGTTCAGTAAGGATGCAAATTTACCTTGGTCGTTTGGTCATCAGGAAAGTCTCGGTTGTACATTACACGCTCAATCAAATCGGAATCAAATGGGATGTCAAGCTTTTTGTAGCACTGCTTTGTCACTTGCATAATCTCTGCAATTTGCTGCTTACTGTAGTCAGCCTAGAAGAGTCGAGAAATAGAGCAATATTAATGTTGGTGACTGGTACTCTGACTCAATCATTCTACTTACCGAGCAGAAGCCGAAAGCTAACACTGAAATTAGCAGAAGGATCTTCATTGCTGTAGAAGTGCTTTTTTCCTGGTACGATTTGCAGTGGTTGAGAAGGCAATGTAGATTGAGCACATAAGTATGATGGGCACTTGCTTTTATGGCTAAAATATTTGTTCGTTCATTTGATGGTGTCTTATCTTCTAAAGGTGGTGCTCAATACCGGCTATATAGGGGATGTTGAGAATTGATTTTTTTTTAGGTGTTCGTTAGTAATGCATCATGTTGTCTTTTTAATTATTTTATTCATAATGCATCATGGATCCTGCATACCTACCTTAGTTATGCGTTCAATGCGGCTCTCTCGTATAGGCAGATGTTTTATTTAATATATTAATCTCTATAAAAATTTCTAAATTCGCTGGACTTCGCTGCTGTTCACTAAGCTTATCGAAGTACTCTTCAAATTGGAACACGAAAAAATCCGGACAATTTGAAAATGCTGCTATTAAGGCCTTTTTTGAATATTTTTTTTTTCAAAATTTTACTGGATCAAGCTAAGAGTGCGTAAAATCACAGTAGGCATTGGTTGTCAGGATAAGTTCATTTGTTTACATCATGACTTCACCGGGGCAAGCACGTCGCGATTCGATCCTGCACGCTCGAAACGAAAATTCCGGTCTATCTGCTCCTGGCAGTTTTCGATCTAATTCCGGCGAAGAAATTTTATACCTCGGTTGCCCCGGAATATTGTAAAAACAAAAAGAAGTTAAAAATCCCCAAAAAGTTCTTTGTCTGGCAAGCAATCTGCAGTTGTGGGCTGAAAGCGAAACTTTCGTAACTTTTGGGACCATGAACCAGCAAATTTACCAGGAGGAGTGCCTACGGAAAAGATTACTGCCTTTTCTGGAGCAGCATTCTGGCCGGACTTGACAAGCTGCCACAACTCAAATTCCAACAAACAGTGGAACAGTGAATATGGTGTCACAGTGGTTCCCAGGAGATGAATCCTGCCAATACTCCGGAACTAAGGCCAATAGAGGAATACTGGTCAATTGGGAAGCACATACTGAAGAGAAAGGGAGGAACTGCAATTTACTTGAAAGATTTCAAGGGGAAATTGAATTTAAACTATGAAAAATTAAAAGCATTTTAAATTCCAACAAGATATTCATTTCCGATTTTTTTCGTGTTCAACCTTTAATATCTTTCAAGTTTGTAGAACTTCTCGTCTAAAAAAAAAGAAGAAAGTGTTTATTCTGGGTTACTTATTTCCCATTAAAACAATGTTTAATGGGATTATGGAATCATAAGATGTTCTGATGATATTTTGTAACTGAAAGTAATAGGAAGAGGTTGAAAGGTTTGTGTTAAACACATAAAACCTGCAAATTTCGCTTTATTATCCTCTCACCTATTCTTCATTCTATGCGAACAACGATTAGAACATCGCTTTCAAAGCAAAATGGACAGGATTTATGTGAACAACACTGTCCTTACAACCTCTTGTAGCTTACAAATACAACATATCATTATGTCGTGTTATGATTTCATAATACCATGCCATACCATACCATAATACTATGAAAACTTTTGAGCGGGTATATTAGGCCTACTTTAGGGAGGATCTGCAAACATCAGAGCTGTTCACTAGGCTTCGGAGGTGTCCAGTGTTCAGGGATTTTGACAAGCGCCATCGCTGTCAAATAGGTATATACTATGAGACTGTGTTAGCTATACATAAATAAAGACGCATGGTAATCTAGTCGAATAGGAGTATTGAGAAAAAATCCAAAACTTGATATCTTAAAGAAATATAACTCAAAAACTAAAAAAAAAAAATGCTTCGCTGATTTTTTGATATGTTGTGTAGAAAACCCTCTCAAGAAAAAATATAAAAACATATTGCCCACTCTGTCTACAAACCATGTAAACCATAAAACACAAATACAGTCAATGTTTTTCTTATCACTCGTAGCCAAAACCTTAGCTGATGTTTAAAATCGTCATATCGTCAAAGGAACTCACATATAATTATAAAATCAAAACGACGACACACAAGGTATCTTCAATAAAACACACACCAAAAAAATACAAATTTCACCATGCACTCGATGACCTGTAATGAGCATCACCGTTTGCAGATAAGCCACAATACAATTACCGAACATTCAGTGCATCCATAAAAGCAAGTACCCATGTTTCAAATGCATTCAATCTGCTTTACCTTCTCAACCGCTGCAAACCGTTTCAAGAAAAAAGCATTTCTACAGCAATGAAAATCTTTCTGCTGATTTCAGTGATAGCTTTCGGCTGCTGCTCGGCAAGTAGAATAATTAATTCAGAGTACCAATCGGCAGTCACTTACATTAATATTGCATCATTCGCATCTTTTAGGCTGACTACAGTAAACAGCAAATGGCAGAGATTATGGAAGTGACGAAGCAGTGCTACAAAAAGCTTGACATCCCATTCGATTCGGATTTGGTTGAGCGTGTGATGTATAACCGTAACATGCTGGAGGACCAGACGACCAAGGTTAATTAAGCGCTGGAATTAAATCCTTCGAACTAATATTTGATTCGTCTAACACTTATAGAAATTTGCCAACTGCATGCTGGCTGGTTTGGGCTTATGGGAATCGGAAGGAGTTATCGACCGGGACGCCGTGGTAAACTTTATGGCAATGAAATACGATGCCAAGGAGGTGCGGGATATTGTTGGAAAGTGCTTCAGACCGACCGGTGAAACCCAGGAGGATAAGGCGTACAACTATTTTAAATGTGTTTTCAAGAATAAGACGTTTGAACTTTAAGTGTTGTTCGCTGATGGAAGTTGTTGGTGTGTTAAGTTGTAAAACCACTTTGGAAAACTAAATACATTGAAAGTAAAATTTGATTTTTTTTTTTTCCACCGGTCGAAATTTTTGCTCATGAGAGGTTCTGAGTGTGATGTTTAGTCGTGGCATTTAACTCTCTATATTTCGAAGTTCTGCAACTCAATATCTCTACGTACCTCGACACTTTAGGCAACAACCTTCTGAATTTCATGAATCATGTTAGTCATGTTAGTCCGAGGAAAAGGTATTACCAGCATTCAAAGCAGTTGGAGGAGGTTTTGACGGCCAACAACCCAAGGAAAATACAATAACCGTTGTTTTATCTACACAGATAAAAATTCTGAATTTTAATAGTGATGTAAACAATCATTCACGTAAACTTGTATTTCATTTCACGCAATCGAGCAACTTGTAAAAAATATTGTTTACAACAATAGGCTTTTGTATACAATATTTGCTACATTGCATGAAATGTCTCAGAGCTTTACATGATGTATAATGTAAACTTATATGATATATGACGGTCCATTTATGTGCATCATACTGAACAGAAATTTACGCTACTTTTTTGAACTGTGTGTGATCCCTACCATCTAGAAAGTTCAAGTCTTCAGCAAAGTTTTTTTTTTTTTTCAAAAGGCCAAGGACATTCAGAGAGTAGGCAGCTTGATTCGGAATTCTATCGGTACGTGGCACTAGTGTGCATGATAAGTTGACCATTTTTGAAATTATTTTAACTCGTGATTCCAATCTGATGGAAAACTCGAGTCTTCAGCAAAGTTGTTTAGAATACCAAGGACGTCCGGCAGATGGTTAGTATTGTTACGTGTCGCTAGTGTGTATGCAAAAATAAGCATTTTTGTAATAATGTTATATCGTGATCCCGATTACCTAGAAAGTTCGAGTCTTCAGCAAAGAAGTTCAGAAGGTCATGGCTGAGTGGAAAACGCTTAGTTCGTTTTGAAATGAATATGAAATGAAACAGTTCTGAAAGCTTTGGAATCACTCGAAAGCAAAATGAATAAGACCTGAACATTTTGGAATCACTAATACCAGACCTGAAACATTTGGAATTACTTGAAAATTTTAACTGAATAATTTGGAATCACTCAAATATTCAGTAAATGACACCTGAAAAGCTTGGAATCATTTGAATATGAAGTGAGCCAGACTTGAAAAGTTAGGAATCTCTTGAAAACACTACCAGTCATAATATGGAATCGCTTAGAAAAGTATTACAACACACACTAGGTTTACCCAATTCAATAAACTTCAAAACCACTTTGGAAAGTGTTGAATCACTTAAAGAAAGTTCTGAATCACTTTGGAAAGTATTGAATCACTTCAAAAGTGATCAGGATCATTAAAAAAAAAGATTGAGTAGCTCCAGAAAAGTATTGAATTACTTAAGATAAGGATCACTTCAGCAAGTACTGAATCACTGCTGGATAGTTTTGATCAATTTCTTACAGGAAAGCACCGATTCACTTCGCAAAGTGTTGAATCGACTCAGCAATGCTTAGAATCACTTCTGAAAGTACTGAATCTATTAAGAAATGTTCGGAGTCACTTCGGAAAATACTGAACCACTTCGAAAAAGATTGGAATTATTTCAGTATTTTGTGAAGAGTTTGAAATCATTTCCGCAAATTTAGTGATTCACTTTGAATAGAAATGAATGACATAACAAAAGTTTAGAATCGCTTCAGAAAGTTCACTTCAGAAATGTTCAGAATAACTTCGGAAATTACTGAATTACTTAAGAAATTTTGAAATCACTTTGGAAAGTATTTATTTATTTATTTCGTCAAGCCAGTGTAGACTACTAACAATTATTATTACAATACTTCTACTTACATACTATGCATTCATTCTATTCTGTTTTAGCCTAGTTTTTATTTGCTGCTTGGACATAGTGATGTCAATAGTTCTGCAATGCAAATTATACAGGCGCATCATCCCATTGATTGGGCTATTGTTTGCATAGTTTGTTCTGTACGATTTTTCAGAAAATAAATTCCGTGTTCTAAGATATCGACAAGTTGTGCAAAAGTTTAATTGTGCGAGAATTTCTGCCGAATCTATGCGCATTGAAATAATGTCGTTGATTAAGAAAAGGATTGCAAATTGGCAGCGCTCCTTAAGTGTTTGTATATTGGTGAGCATGCAGCGCGCTTCATAAGATGGTAATGGAAATGCAGTCCAATTCAATTTACGTAAAGCATATAAAAGGAAATGTTTTTGGACAGATTCAATGCGTTCTTCGTGTATGGAAATGTATGGATTCCACACTAGGTTGCAGTATTCCAGAATTGATGTGGTATATAATAGCTTGATGTATGGGTCTTCGAAATTATGACTGAACCTTTTAATGAAGCCTAGCATTCTGTTTGCTTTACTAATGATAGTATTATAATGTTCTATAAAAGTTAGTTTGGAGTCTACACACTTAGAAATACCTAATTTTACACGTGACGGAATCCATCTTTGACATAAAGGATGAGACGTAAACAAACATGTCATGTAAAATTAAGTGCTCCGAGACTGAAAAGTTCGTTACTCGACGAAAAGTACGTTTGATTGAGCTGAATTTCGCGTCTATTATGACTCAATTTTGTGTCATAATTGACGCTCGTATATGTCAGTCTCAGATCACCTAAATTTACAGAAATTTTTCTAAGTGTGTAGGATTCCACCTAGATCTCTTACAATTTTGCTTTTTTCTACTATTTGGTTGGCTAATGATGTTTCAATATGCGGTGTTTCGATTTTTCTGCAAAATGCTACTGCAGTACATTTTTTTTACGTTCAGTTGAAGTAGACTTTTACCACACCAGGTGTGGAATACACAGCAAAAAAATAATTTTGATATCACATCAAAGTGGATGCACTACAATCATGTCGAAAATTTCATGTAATTTTTATGACCACATAAATAAACAAATGCAGTAAAAGCAGCGTAATGTCAGTTCATGCATTGTATTAATGATAATTTTGTCCTTTTTAGCAAGTAATATTACAGCATATTTTCGACATGATTGTAGTGCATCCACTTTGACGTGATATCAAAATTATTTTTTTGCTGTGTATATTGATTTCATTCTGGAATTCTTTTGCATCGCTAGAATTACTTATTTCCATAAAGAGCTTCATGTCGTCTGCATATAAAAGCAGTTTTATTTTTTTAAGTATGTAGGAAAGGTCGTTTATATACAAAATAAAAAGAAGTGGGCCTAAATGAGAACCCTGGGCTACCCCAGAGTTGACTGAAATTAATTGGTTCTGAAAGTTTATTTTGAAAGCGGACTATTTGTTTACGATGTGTTAGGTATGATTGAATCCAATTCAAAAATCCAGGCTCCATTTCTATTTTCTGCAATTTGAGGATTAATAATGGTATGCCGATGCGGTCAAATGCTTTACTGAAGTCGGTGTATAGCGCTTCAACGTGCTTGCCACTGTCCAACGCTTTAAGAATTAAAGATACATATTCTAGAAGATTAGAGGTAGTTGAGCGACCTATAAAAAAGCCGTGCTGTTTACTTGTAATTAGATTTTTCACCTGCTGAAAAATATTGCCGTTTACGATTGATTCAAAACGTTGTGGAATGCAAGAAATAATAGCAATTCCACGACAATTTCACCTTATTTGAAAATTGGTACCAAAAAAGATGATTTCCAAATCTCTCGGAGAATTTTCCATTTTTCAGAGACATGTTGAAAAGACGCTCTAGAGGAAATGTGAGTTCTTCAGAAAGGTTTTTCAAAAATATGTGTGCGATGCCGTTAGGTCCAGACCCTTTCGACGCGTTTAAGTTTGTTAGTGCATTGAGGACTTCATGTTGAGAAAGTTGGTTGACAGAGATGTTTTTAGAAATTTCAGGAATGAATGCAAAGAAATCGTGGTCACGATTTTCTTCGGAAAATGTGGTATATACTTATTGGAAGAAATTTGCAAAGAGATTCCAGATTTCAGAAGAATTCTCACCTACATTTGCATCCAAATTCATTCGCGAAGGAAAATTGCTGCTTTTTAATTTCGTGTTTACATAATTAAAAAAGTTCTTAGGACATGATTTGACTTCATTTTCGGCTTTGCGGTTATAGTCCTCATATGCAGAGTTGATGGCTGTATTTATTTAAATGGTTGCATAAGTTTTGATAGTTTCGCAAATTGGTTTCAGTTTTTTCTTTTTTGTATAGTTTATGAGCTTTCTGTTTTTTATTCTTCAAATTTTTCAGTTGTGGATTGAACCATGCGGGTAGTTTATTGTTTTGTGTTCGTCTTCTTTTTTTTTTTGGATGGTACAGTTTCTAAAATAAGGCTTGAAATTTTTCTACTTCAGTATCGACATTTCCTTCAATACTTATTAAATTTTGCCAATTTATTGTACATAGTCTATGTTTGGCTTCTTCGTAATTTGCTTTATGGTATTTCGGCACTTCCTCGTATTCCCAGTCGCTGGAGGAGGAAGAATTTTAGTATTCAATTGCTGTGTGAAAAACTTCATTTTTCCATAAAGGTGCTAATGATGCATCCACACAGAAGTCTTCAGTACAATTTGTAAATAAAAGGTCTAAATATGAGTCTTGTTGATTTTTTACATGGTTTATTTAATTAAGACCAAAATAAGATATTTTGTCGAATAAGAATTGAAATGTTTCGGCTTCACCTACAACCGGGAGTAAAAATGATTCATTTTCAATGTCTGTAATAAAGTCTGCGTTTCGTTGATTGAAGTCGCCATAAATATGCAGTTTCACTTCTGGTTCCATATTTGACATTATAGTTTCTACAATTTGAAAAAAATAGTTCAAACGACTGCTTGTGGGCATGTTTAGGTGGAAAATACACAGAAGAAAAAATGTGTATTTCACCGGCAATAAGTGCTTTGACCCAGACATTTTCGAATTCCTTGTGCTTATTTGTTATGATTTCTTCAGAAGTAAAGTCAGCATTGATGGCAATGAGCACT